TAGCCTGTCAGCAATTAAATCACAGAGGCTGAGCATTTCATAGCAGCGAAAGGAGTGTTACACAACGCCGCAATCATGGGAATAATCTCGTTCTGATAAGAGAGGTCGAGCGGCCCAACAGTTTGCCTATCATTGAGGGTGGGCATTTGATTGTCCGGGGTGATATCGTCGATAGCATCGCCAAAATTTCCGAAACAGCAAAGAGCCGAGTCATGCGCGATGACCCTCCTCTATTGATCTCAGCTTTCGAGACCTGGCGCTCCTGGCTGTCGTTCATGCAGGCTGCCATCTCTTCGTATGAAGAAGAGCCAATCCACATAGCGTTTTGGCGGACATTGTTTAACGATACGGTGGGACATCTCACACCTCAAGCAGTACTGGAAAAAGAGAGGGCAATGGACTCGCTGGATTACGTCGAGGCCGTACACGCGCGGCTTATGGAGGAAGAGCCGGGCCAAGAACCATACTTAAGCCACTGGCTAGATACGGAAGTTCCCTATGATGTGTCCGATGCGTTTGTGACTAGTATGAGAGCAAGGGCTTGTATAACAAACGACGGATTCTTTGGCCTTGTTCCGGAGTATGCAGAGGTGGGCGATCTGGTGGTCTATCTCCAAGAGGCCGAGAGACTGCATCTGTTAAGGTTTCGTGATCGGAGCAAAAGTTTCTTCACGCTTGTTAAAGAGTGTTATATACATGGGCTGGCGAATGGTGAAAGTTATCCCTTGGATGACTCCGAGTTGACGGAGATTGTGATTGTATAAGCTCAAGTATGAAGAGGTTCATTGTTCAGGAACGAACTTGTTGAAAGCTCACCGAAACTAATTATCAAGCTATGTACTTACCAACAGAGCTAGAGCTCAAGCCCCAGAGCGTTTCGCTTTACTCGTCGTACCTACCGCCCCCCCCCCCCCCTAGTTCTGTTTTCAAACTGTGGGCCCAACAAATGCAAGAGAGGTGTAATTGAAGTATACATACTGCAGGGTGAAGATTGATGCAACAGATCAGAGCTTGGTTCCCTCCTCCAGCACCGCTTCAGTCTTAGAAGGGCACAAAACCGGATCTGAGCACGCCTGCGCAGCCAGTTCCTGTTCATCTTCCAAGCCTCCATCCTCTTGGTCCCGTTCCATACAGGTTGCGTGGTAGGCTGCATCTGCCCTTGCTTCACAGTCCTCCGAACCACACATCATGGAACCCTGGATGCGCTCAACTCGGTGGTCTACACATTCGAAAGGGTCGTCATCGTTCAGAGTGGTCAGCTGTGTCACGGGACAGGCGATTGTTACCTGTTTATCCGCAATGGTAACCAGATTGCACTGGGGGCAGGTGGCACTGTAGGAGTAGGTAACGCACATGTCGGTAGTATGGTGTTAGTCAAGGTCTGGGAGGTTGGCTCGGCTTGTGAGGTTGTTAGTGGAGGCACAGAAGCATGAATACTGGACCGATTGAGTTGGCGTGACCTCATGAGGCGCATATAAATATATTCAATTCGCGAAAGAACCACTTGACGAAAGCCGACTACAAAGAATTGTATCCTTTGTAAAGGCTTTTGCATGTTGCACTCGATGTCAAATGAAATACAATGCCTTTGAACTGACTCTTCTTAAGAACAACGCCACTCTTCTCCTTTGACAGGTTATTACCAGTCTCTTTGATGCTGCGTACAGGGAGTCAGTCATCAGTCTTCTTGATTGTTAAGAGACGGCATCTAGGTTGGTTATAGTCAAAGCTTGGAGGTAAAGAGTATTATCTCGATAATATTTGTACTATTCGTGTGAAAATACAACGTTCTCCACCCATACCTTGGCGTGTCGAAAATGGGATGCGGTCAAAGGAGTATGAAATATCGATTCCGGTCCAACATCAATGATTGCCTCCAACATTTCGCTGCTTACGTCCTTGATCCGTATTGACGATGTATGCCCTGGGCCCTAACCACCTCAGAGGCTGCTCATGTTAGAGAACCTGGAGTAAGGTATTTGTCAACAAAAAAAAGTTGTATCTAGGAAGGGATCTTTTCGTTCCTCTGGAAGAAAAGCAACAGCATCAACCAGTCTGTAGGAGATGAGAGGGTGTAGTTGATCACATATACAAATGAATATCAAACAGGCGAAGAGATTTGCCGGATTGTAACCGACGGGATCAACATGACGTTTTTTTTCGCGAGGCAGCCCCAGCCCTACTGCCCTGTTGACAACCCGAGGACAGGCATTTCAGCCTCTAAGCCCCAGTAAACAACCGGCGAACAGGGGGTTCCACGCCTGAAAAAGGTACGTCAGTTGGTCCTGTGGGATTCCAAGATTTGTCACAGAGCAGCCAATGTGGCACTACAGACGCGCCAAGACACGCTCCAGTTGTCGTTCCTGGATGGCTCGGGCCCCAGTGTCGTCATTATCCGCCCATTGTGTTATACTACGGTACCAGTGTAAGTGTCTATATCCGGATATGTTGATCGACCCCATCTCTAACAGGTAATCTGACCGGTAACATAGCAGTTTATGCCGCCTTGTTTTATTACATATCGTCTCATTATTTGAGGATTTATGTATACGGGAAGCGCTTGGATGATGTGGCCCAAAGTGACCGGCACGGATCGTCACTCGAGTCATCAGCACCTCCAGGGCTACCTAGGTAGGCTATAAAACGACAAAAGATCCTCGAGCCGTTGGAGCTACTGAGACCCATGAATGATTGTCTTTCTCGGCAAGGCTAAAATTCCAAGGTTTCTCCCAACCTTCTTCACTCGCTCCCGTCTTCTGCAAACCTTATCCTCCTTTCCACCCTCAGGAAGACACGACAATGGGAGGCCATAAACCCGTGAGGATGTCGTCAAAAGCAGCAGCGCTCCTAGTCCTCCCGGGACTGGCGACAGCATTGGCACCCCTATACAGCAGCTACACCTTCAACCCCCTCGAGCACCTGGGCGGTGTGGCTCCTTACTTCGAGCCTGTTGACCCGCAAACAGACCCAGCTCCTCCACAAGGGTGCACGCCGGTCCGCGCAGCATACCTCGTACGGCACGCTGCCATATACGCCAACGACTTCGACTACGAGGAATACATCTCCCCCTTTATCTCCAAGTTCCAGAACAAGACCGACATCAATTGGTCCACCATACCCTCACTCAGCTTCCTGGCATCATGGTCACCACCAGTCTCAGAGGCAGAAGAGGAGCTCCTCACCCGCGTGGGCAAGCTCGAGGCAACACAGCTGGGAGCAAGCCTGAGCTTCCGCTACTCCAACCTAAAGCTGCCGAAGCGGGTATGGAGCAGTTCCGCTGAGCGGACGTATGAGTCCGCCAAGGCCCTCATCCGGGGGTTTGAGCCAGCCGGTGATGACAACACCATCGACTTGGTTTCGGTCTATGAGAACAAGAAGGGCGGCGCCAACAGTCTCACCCCGTATAGCGCCTGTCCCAAGTACAGCGGAAGCGCAGGCAGTGACCAGAGCGCCGTGTACCTCGACAAGTTTACCCGACCCATCATCGCGCGGCTCAACGCGGCCGCTCCGGCGTTCAACTTCACGGCGGACGATGTTTACGGAATGATGGAGCTGTGCGGCTACGAGACCGTCATCAAGGGCACCTCCAAGTTCTGCGACACTAGTCTCTTCACCCCTGACGACTGGCTCGGGTGGGAGTACACCGCCGACGTGCAGTACCACTACAACGTCGGCTACGGCAGCGAAGTCAGCGGGCCCATCGGACTGCCCTGGGTGAACGCCACAGCCGGACTCCTGACGGCGGACACGGACGACGCGGACGTGCAGGACCTATACGTGAGCTTCACGCACCGCGAGCTCCCGCCCACGGTGCTGGTGGCCATGGGCCTGTTCAACAACTCTGCCTTCGGCGGGTCCGAGGCGACCATCAACGACACGATGCCCCTGGACACTATCAACCACCGGCGGGCGTGGAAGAGCAGCCACGTGCTCCCCTTCATGACGAACGTGGCCATGGAGAGGCTGAACTGCAGCGGGAGCTACGGCTACGACGACGGGGACTACTACCGCGTGCTGGTGAACAACGCGCCGCAGCCGCTGCCGGACTGTGGGGACGGGCCGGGGACGACGTGCTCGCGGGCGACGTTCGATGGGTGGGTGCGGGACAGGGCGGATCTGTTCTCTGGGTACTCTGAGAAGTGTGGCACGGCGGAGGAGTATGATAATTCTACGGATGTGTTGACGATCTATACTGATTCGACTACGACGGGTAATGGCACTTTTGTGGGGAAGAGGAGTCTATGGGATCAGGAATGAGATGTGTTGTTGCGCTATGCACGTGTATAAATACTATAATGACTTAATATGCTCACAATTCTAATGAGGAGATAAGCAACCTCCGTGAAAATGTGCCTGTGAAGTGTTGGGTACCCTGCAAGGACTATATTTGGTGCTTAGGTGCTTGGAGGCAGCCTAGCATCGTGGCGATGACCCTTCTCAGAGGAAACGGAATTTTAATAGCCCATGACGCACTCCAGATTGGTGTTGGAAAATGAACAGAGTTGATATCTAAGGAGCAAGGCGAAAAAAAAAAGGTCAATTGAAGCCGTCTCGAATAAGTATTAGCAGGGACCATCATGAAAACTGGCAAGGCCTTAGGATGTGTAGTCCACTGGAAGGGCTGATCAAGCTTCGACCACATGGGCACCCGCGGACTGGATCACGCCCGCCCTAAATAATGCATATTTGATTATGTACCCACAAGCCTATACATATATCAAAAAGAGCCAACGTCAATGTGAAGAACAAACTGCATTGTAAGGTAAATGATTAATATATCAAGAACGAATTAGACTGAGGTGCATCTTTGGGGACAAAAGTAACAATAGCAAGGTTCGGATATATGCCCCGGAAAGGGAATGCATGCTCGTGTAACTTGAGGTAAATCTTCAACCTCTGCTTAACACCAACTATAAGACCTCAACGGCCTTTGCACGGGCTATTAGGGGTCCAAATAAGATAGATAGAGGATTCCCTTGATGCAAAAAGGCAAAAAGAAACGACGCCGGCATGATTCGAACATGCGCCTCCGAAGAGAATAGATCGGCTAGAAGCTCAGTTGAAATTCTAGTCTATCGCATTAGACCACTCTGCCACGGCGCCAGTAATCGATATTATAGGAGCTCGAGTCAAGACTCATATAGTTGATGCAAGACAGCAAGGAAGACGTCGCATCGTTCATATAGGAGGTCCCCAGGACAACGCTCTTGCCTTAATGCGAACTTGGGAAAACATCCAGGATCCGGCAAGTTGACTATGTATCGATTATGGAAACAACTGAACTGTACTCAAGTAGCTATTATGAATTCTCAAAACACAGCAAGTTCTCCATTCTGACTTATCGACCAGGAGATCATGCTGCCCTAGTCACGACATCCATTCATATCGACGCCACATAGATCCACACAATATACAACCTCGCGCCTCCTTTCCGGATTGCTTCAGGCTTTATTCTCAGTCGCAGCAATCCGCAGCGTGGCACGGCACAGTGTCGGTATGGGTCCGCTGAGTCATTTGGGCCAAGGGTGCAAGGTTTGGCAACAAGACGCTGCACTTCGCTTGTGTCGGTGCGGCTTGCACGGCGCTGATCCAAGCGTCAGCAGCGGGGAGCTGGACAGGGTCTGCCAAGGGAAAACAGCTTGGAGAAAGTCCCATGGGGGACACATCTGAGTTTGACGCTTACGATAGCGTTGAGGCTGAAATGGCGGCCTATGACGCTGGGGCTGAGGCCCGGGCCTCGGTGCAGAGACCAAAGAGGGCCGCTATGTTGCGGTATCTAGTCGACCAAGTTGTACAGGGTGTGAACCAGCCAGATCTCGATGTCATCCAGCTGATAGCTTGGCATTACGGCAGGCCAATTTGCTATGCAGCTCGGGGAAAGCATGGTGTAGCTGTGGTAAGATGGCTGCTTGGCAAAGGGGCAGATCCTTTATTCCAAAAGTAGACCATCTGCGCGGAGGATCTTTCTAGAGCACATGGAAACCACGAGATCTTGCAAGTTTTGGGGCAGTGGAGGGAAGTTCTGAAAAGGTGTAGGGAAGGCAGGTCTTGGGCAGTGCCTTTTCTTCAGAGTGGGAGGGTAAGTCTTGGGAAGAATGGGAGGCATCTCATAAAGATCTGGGGCCTTTAACTTGAGGCAGAAGATGACCATGGCCTGAGGTGGAACAGGTTCATTGCTGCCTAGAAGGGTTCAAGTCACTTGCGGTCGGTTTGGAAATCACATTGAATGTTTTGACCCTTCCAGTATCCTCTTGCGATGCCTGTCATTTGCCATAGTTCTCGAACATGAACGACGAAGCCTGGCTTCGTCGATTAGAACAAATGGGCACTGGTCTTGAGCCCGATCCTCATCCCACCTCGCTGGAAGAGCTACCTCTGCTCGGATGTCTATTCCATGCAGTCACTGGTCCAAATCAGAGAGCAATATACATGCAATTACTAGTCATGCCGTAATAACTTCGGAATTGTAGACTATATAATGGAGAAAAACTGGGTTACATTGCATGAATACTCTACAGTATCCTCCGTTTGCCGGCCTAGCCTATACTAAAAGCACTAAGACTACCGAGTAAATACAATAGGTCTTCCGCAAGTAAGCCAACGGTCCAGGATGTTTGGACCAGATGTGTCAGATCCTCTAGAGGAGAATCTAGCATTGACCGTCGTTAGGGTCGGAGCTATTATTCTAGGTTAGCAGACCTGCCAGGGAGATGTATCGAGTATAGACTTACATAAACCTGAAGTCGGTGTAGCTGGAGTCTCCTCCCTGCCCACATCCGTTGATCTCCTTCTGGAGCCCATCGTAGCAGCCAGCATAGTCGAGGTATTTGTCCCCGGAGCTGATCTTGGAGATCTGGAAGTTGGCCTTCTTATTACTCTCGATGTTGTGGCAGGCCGCCTGAATGGGCGCAGACGACAAGTAGACGCGCTGTCCCAGGGCGGAATTGCACACCGCGGAAGCGTACTGGAGTGCGAGATCCTTGCCGGAGCCCCAGGACGCGCCACTGGTGTAGCAGCCGCGCTTCTCAATGCTGCGCGCCTCTTCCCCCTGGGCAGTGGGAGCAGATGGGAGTGCCGTGGCTGCGGTGACCGCGAGGGCCAGGTTGATGAGGGTGGTTAATTGCATGGTGGATCTGGGAAGGGGATATTTGAGAAGAATGTCGATGGGCTATGGTGGATAGGAGTTTGCAATTGGTACTGCTGCTGATGTTGAGGGACAAAGACATCAGACTTTTCCTTCTTCCTTTGGCCGGCGCGAATGCCCCTTTTTATACTTGATTATGAACTGCTCAAGGTGAACCTCCTTGAACTTGCTTCGGGCTAGAATGGGTGTAGTCACAAGAGTCAACTGATCCGACACAGTACCTCCGCGACGCCCATCAACTGCGCATGCGCCGTCTCATCCTGACGGATCATGGGAACTGCCTCCCAATCAAGCCAACTAAATCCTGTTACATCATTAATCGAACATCGACAATGGCCCCAGGCGGTTGTATACTGTACCCTCCAAAGGGTATAGTTTCCCGCTCCTGGAGAAGATGATCACTCCACAAAGTGGAAGATTGGTGGTGGTGGCAACAAGGTTACGATGGTATACGATGATCCCCCTCGGTCATCCAGCGGACAAGGAGCTTGAATGGATCAATGCTAACCACTTGGCAAACGACATCCCACGGGTATCTTTGTTAGCTAACCCTACACGTAAGCTGATTTCCAAGACCTATAGCTCCTGTCCTACTCTGACTTCACTCCTACCGTCCTACTTACTGCTCCTTCCAAAGCTAATAGCTTCTCAAGATTCATCCTCTAGAGCTGGTTGCAAGGGTGGCGACAGGATTCCAGCGTCAGTACACAGATGACTGTATCGTGGAGTCTGGGCATAGGCAGGTTGTGGGTCCACGCGTCAGATTGCGGAGCAGCTCTTCCAGCAGCTTCAGATAATGCAGGGAGAAAGTGCGAACCTCCTCAATGATTAGAACAATGAGAGCGTGGAAGACGCTTTGAGCGTCGAGGGCGCCCTGAACGTCGAGATCATAATGAACCGGAGGACACGCCTGATGTGTATGTAACACGAAGTTGGTTCATTTATATAGCGCACAATATGACCTGAAGCATCATAGCGCAGAAGTGAATGGAAGGCCTGAGAAAACATCTTGTTGGAGCCTCAAGTGTGATAGGTTATATGTTTAAAGGATTGGTGGGCCTATTGAGGTCGTATCACTTGGCTATGCGTGCCAAGGTGTCTTTAGCTCGAACGTGGATGAACCTTATTCAAAGAAGCTGACTCTCTTCTGATCATCAACATGAATACCCTAGGGTACATCGAGCGGATGCTAAGACGGTGGTATTGTACACGTTAATACCTGGGAATCTACGTAGAAGAGGTGACAGCAGAACATCCTACCCTAATCATCATCACTCAGTATAATGTGGCAACGAGCACATACTTTTGCGAGCCTATCACCGAATAAACCTTCTTATTTTTTCTTTCCTTTTACATGCTCCATTGGCTGCTATTGGGGCTTCCTTTCCGGACGTACTTAGAAGAATTGAAGCTAAAGAGATAATCTCTGGTATAATTCTTCACCGAAGGACCATTCCCTTGCTGCTCTCTATGTACCTTTTGACTCAACCAATGCTCTTGAGCTGCCTCACCCACAAATTAAGTACATGAAGGCGAACTTGAGCAACGGCCTTCGGACTCAAGAGCATCAGGGAGCGGCTTTGCGGCCAACGTGTGCTGGGTGTCTCAAAGTGCAAGCGTCAGGAGGAAGGATCTCGGGAAGAAGCCTACATCATTATTGGCAAGGTGGAGTTCGAGGAATGGTATCTAATATTGAATCATCTTTTCCTCCAAGTTACACCTAGATTATGATCAGAGGGAGTGATGCGCAGCTTGCACAGGGCTTTAGATATGGAGAGGGCAGAGCTCGATATTCAGAGCCTCGAGAGCCTAGAAGTCCCGACTCCTTCCATAAACAACAAGAAAAGATCTTGGTAGTATTTTCGCAACCAGATTTGGCCCTTGAGGTTGGTGAGAGATACAGCCACAGGCATCCCAAACTTGTTGGACTTGTTTTAGGGAGGAATAGGATTGCTAAGGATGTATAGATACTGCTCAAGTGCTTGTTTTGTATTCCTGATAAAAGTCTTGCATTCCCATGGCAAGTGATCGGCGTGCATAGAGACCGAGCATCGGAAACCAATGATACAACGTGGAATCATTGACTTCATTGGTTGTGTTCCTGCGGTGTGTCGATATCGAGACTAATGACTGTCATGTTGCTTAAACGCGGGTTGTTGCCCAAAAACTGGTACCGCTGATATATCCACGGCATATCGATGATATGTTGATGATTAAGCAAGTGACCATTAAAATACCAACGCCTCCTAATATGCTATACAGTAGTTATTTGTATTGGGCCAGCCAAATGGTATATATTGATATACTTAGCGAGTGAAGGCCTATATATACCCTGCTAGACTTAATGATAGCCTAGCCAGGGAGTACGCAAAAACATCAAACCGTCCCAAGAACTCCTCTAAAATCCAAACCAAGTAATCCCAAATCCAATATGCGCCACTTCATGCGACCCTCTAGCCCTTCCTCATTCCCGGACCTGATTTTTCATCGAATTTCGAAGCCTCTGGAAGACGAGTAACAAGAAACGAACAGGAAAAGTTCATCCAGACTTTCCAGGGAGCATCTTGATGTTCTTCCAGGAAGCATTGTTCTGAATAGTCTCCTTGCAACCAGCCCAATCACCACTGCCCTGGGTACACGGGTTAACCCACTTAGCAGCAACATCTGACTTGCCATAGTTACCATAGCAAGCCATCTTCGCCCCGGTAGCCGGGATCGACCAGCCTTTATGCTGCATGATAGCCAGTGCATTCATCTCGGCGCAGTTCGCCCAGTTCTTGTGGTTGAAATCCGGCACCACATTGCACGTCTGGGCAGATTGGGTATCCTTCCCAACCCCCTTGAGAGAGGTATCGAGAATCCAGCCCTTACTAGGGATAAAGAGGGCACAGCCGATAGATGATATAGGCTTCTTCGCTTTTGCGGCATCAGCTGCAGCATTCGTCCAGCTAGTCTTAGC